GATAACAGCAGGCAATAGACTCTCTGAGCTATAAACCCTTCCAGTGGTTCTGAACTCTTCTAAAGTTACATAAGACTGTTCCGATCTCTCCTGCCATCCTCCTAATTGGGTTCCTGGCTTCGTTTTGTACGCTTCTTTGCACGTGTGAGCTGTGCGCACAGTTCACAGGGATCAGGAAACTTCTATGTAACTAAGAATTATTTAAAAAAACCAACCCACACTGGCGAGGGTTGGACGACCCTGCTCCAAGCGAACTGCCTGTGTAATGTCTCACTTTCTGGATCAGGACTTTAAAAAAAGCTGCATTCAAAAAGCAAGACAAACCTGGTTATTTTTAGAGGAAGCTCAATAATTCCCCAAGAGGCCGGGGATTCTGGTACCCCTAGGAAATCAGTAAAGGGAAAAATACATCTGCTGAACATCTGCGAGGGCCCACATTGAGGAACAGAATTTGGCCTGAAGGAAAGAACTGATTGCAAGTATATCCCTGTAAGATTGCAGAAAGATGGGAGCCCATGGATTTTTTCAAACCCCCTCTCTCCCATTTTTAGATGCTCATTTGCCTGAAAACCCCACCCTCAATTTTGAATGAAGAATTCCCTCAGCAGCAAAGAGGGGGGGAAAACCCCCAAACCTGTTTTTGCTTTTGAAGCAGAAGAGAGTCTGGGAGAGCTCTGGGGAATGGTCATGATCACCAGACAGTGCTGAAGTTAGGGATGGGTTAAACTGGCCTGTCAATGGGAAACAGAGGTTCATCTTGGCATTCTTCCATCCTACATCTGTTCCCTTTGGATTAATGGTTTGATCTCACAGTACTGCCCCGCACCTAACAATATTTCTCTTTTCAGCTATAAAAATAGCTCACGGCCCTCGAGTAGCCTGCCCCATTTGGCTTTCCACATCAAGGATTTTGTCTGAATTCCTTTCTACCTGTCCCTTCCTTAAAGTAGACTTTGTGTTTCTTTGTTCTTTTATTACATACCAGGTTTTTTTTTTAAAATGCATCCATATCCTTTTCCTTTTGAGCAGAGGCCTTCTCAGCAAGAACACTTCTTAAGGGTTGCTTTACCTTTGAGTAAGAGCTTGTGCATTGAAGCTTTTCAATGATCTCGAGGCAGTTCAGCATTTGGGATGCCATTTTCCATTCCTATCAATGCCCTTCTGTACAAAGGTGAATGGAACTTCGTGTCCCAGTCACAGGCCCACTCCCACAGGCTCAAGCAAGATTGTTGCCTGCACTTAAAGACCCAACTGGAGGAATGCCATAAGCAGGTATGAAGAGGATCCTTTCTCTGGTGGATGGCAATTTAAATTGCTGTCTAAACAGGTAGTTAAGTAAAAGGCAGATGGAGTGCCTGCCATGGCCGATTTTTAAGAGCAGGTGGGACAAACACCTGTTAGGGATGGTCTAGGTAATACTTAGCCCTACCTTGAGGCCAGGGGACTGGACTAGATCTCTCAAGGTCCCTTCCAGTCCTATGATGCTATGATGTAAAATCAATCAATCAATCAATCAATAAATAAATAAAGTAGCACCTGTACTCGAAGTAACAAAAAGCTGATATATTAAGCAAAGGGAAGTAAGGCCTTTCAGTCTCTTGGGAAGCATAGAGAGGAAGCGCAGGGGCAGAATATTCTCTCATTGACTGGAGAAGAATGGAACATACATGGCTGGGAGCAGAGATGGGGGCAGGACTACACCAGGTTTCTGCATGAATGAGAATCCTGGCCTATGCAAAACGCTTCCCCCTACTCCTCTTCATTCTCATTCTCCCCACTGAGGCGAACGGTCCATGCCAGTAGTAACTGACTGATGTTTTGCTACTTCTGCGTAGTCAGGGGTGTTAGGAACTGCACAACTGAGCAAGGAGACACCCTGGCTCAAGTGGACAATAAAGAGTCTTGAAAGCGCCTGTTGCAGATCTGAGCTAGTTCCTAGGCAAAGCCTCTCCACGTTCACTCCACAGCCTGCATCTCTGCTAGACTTGATAAGTTATCAAAGCAGAAGGGGAAGCTACAGCTTTAAGCCACTTCAGCTAAAAATGTTGCTCCTGTCAGAAATCTTCATCCACGGAGAAGAGGGATGCGCCTGGCAGCTCTCCGTCACCCTAACAATAGAGCAGCAGAGCTGGAATGGTGTGGCAGGAAGGAAAGAAAACTTGAAAACCCGATTCCCAGCCTTCCCCCACCTCCATGCACCACAATATATAACTCTGTGCAGGAGTCAGGAACCCAGCATCTTTCTTGGACCTCATCCTAGCTTCAGTCCCCTCCCTCACCCACACAGCATTTGCCATCCTTGCTTTGTCCTTGTTTAAGCCTAAAATTTTCCATTTAATATAATTTCTTGTCCACCTGCTGCTTCTCTTCCTGTCGGCTGGCTTCTGTACAGACTCTGCATGGCTGCTAGTTTAAACTACGGGAACTTAGTTATCAAAACTTTAACATGGCAGATTATGGGATGATTTACAAAGGATCAAAGTGGCAATTTAAATACGTCTAAACCCGTGTCTCTGTCACAGCAAGCTCTCGTTCGACAGCACTATTTTAAGTTTTCCTCAAACAATGTTATGAGCAACTTTCACTGTGAAGTTACAACAAAGAACATACCTGAATTTGAGGAAACCTTGACTGAGCTATTCAAAGCAATCCAGGGGATTTAGTCAGGGATTGGTCCTGCTTTGAGCAGGGGGTTGGACTAGACGACCTCCTGAGGTCCCTTCCAACACTGATGGTCTATGATTCTATGATACATCAGACTTAAAAGCTGATGTTTCAAAATGCTCTAAACGGTTTTGAAAAGTTCAACCCTAATTTTATGATTTATTCACTTTTAATTAGCTCATTAGGCAGCTCCCATGATCATATGAATTCTAGTAAAACTCAAAGTTTCTCTCTTTGGGGTCCAATATTTTCCCATTCTCCATAGTGATATCAAAATTAGGTAGGAGTTTTGAAAAGAGCTTTTTCAATTCTATCAGAGGGAACAGTCACAAATGAAACCCTGCACACGCTAGATTGGGGGAGCCATTACTCAACTACATCCTTTCTTCATGATAAAGAACAAAGTTTACACTGGTTTCAGAGTAACAGCCGTGTTAGTCTGTATTCGCAAAAAGAAAAGGAGTACTTGTGGCACCTTAGAGACTAACCAATTTATTTGAGCATAAGCTTTCGTGAGCTACAGCTCACTTCATCGGATGCATTCATCCGATGAAGTGAGCTGAAGTTTACACCTAATCCTCAACATTCACCACTCCTATTAAATGACAAAGATGTGAGTTATTACACATTTCGACCCATTTTGTCTACGAATAATTTAGTTCCTAAGCCTGAAACCACCAAGAGAAGCTTTTGCTATTCAATAGTGAAGTTTCCATTTTAAAAATGTGATTTGATGTTGCCTAGTTATCTGCTTTTGTGAAAGACACCATTTCAAGGACAAGGAGTGCCGCAAAGCTTGTCTAAAATACAAGCCCTGAATGTTTTTGGCTTGTTTCCTCTGAACCACAGAGATCTGCTCTGCGACAACAAATTTTCAGTGAGATTTTCTAAGGGCATCTAAGCGAGAATCACAGGATTCAAGTTTCCCCTGAATGCAAACAGAAGTTTATTAGAACATTGCTGGATAAGCCATATTTTCAGATGTTCTGTATGACTAACATGACTACCCCTGTATGACTAACATGGCTACCCCTCTGATACTGTACGAGTACTCCATTGTTCAGAATGAGCCACCTAAATTCAAGCTGCTACAATCACATGATCTACCTAATATGCTCAAATGATGTTCAGGGAAAGGGAAACTGCAAACAGGTTCCTGATTAAAAATAACCAGCAGGAAAATCTTGATTAAAAAACAGGCTTTTTAAAATCCTGTATAAGTGAAGATGCAGAATTCCCTCTTCCCAGTTGCAATCTTTATAAGAAGCCTTTGCAAGAGCAAGAGGTTTTTTAATCAACAGTTAACCAGTGTATTCCAGTACAGGAGTTGTTTTTAATTTCTTGCTATAAGCCAGTTTGTTGTTACAAGCTTTCACATAAAACCTCCAAACAGCTGTTGATGCCCAACAAACTTTTAAAACTCTTTTTGTTTTAAGTTGCTGCACCTCCAGGACTAGGAGCTCTTCACGATATTTCTTAAAGTACATATTTATTCCTGGCTTCAGAGGAGAATTAAACTCCCCATTTTAGCACCGATGACCACTTTAAAGCCAAAGACTACTGAAGATAGTGGAACAACTGCCAATTACTTCAATGGGCTTTGGACCAGCTACTTTTAAAATAAAACACACACGTCTACGCAGCTGCCTAAAATCCTATAGAGGCTCTGAACATATAGTGTCCACCACGCAACGAGAGAAGTGCCTCTATAGCTATGTAACCATAAATGCCCCACCCTCCAATCTGGAGATACAGCTTCATTTGCATTTTGATTAACATTTTAAACTGTGGAACAGAGAGCATGTTTCACTGCAGCTGTGGTGCAGTACCCCGCTATGCTTTACGATCACGATAATTCCCTATGCTGTTAGGGAATAGAAGATTTATAAATTGCCCTAACAGTTACGTCGTTTTCACTGACCTCCACTGAGAGGCAAAGCTGTCTATTGGATACTGGAGTGGAAGGACTGTCAGGAGTCCTGGGTTGGATTACCAGGTAGCCACTGTCCTGGTGTGTGACTTGGACACGTCATTTCACCTCTCTGTGACTCCTTTCTATGTTAGCTATTCAGGGTAAGGACTCTCTCTATGAGTATGTACAGCACCTAGCACACTGGGCCCCTGATCCCACTTGGAGATTTCTAGGCCCTGCTGTAATAGGAATACAGTGAAGGATGGCCAGTTTCCCATCAAAATGCGCTGCAAAAAACCCACACATTCAGATGTACTTTCATTTGTATGGACTGTTTACAAAGAATTGCATTCCTGCTTCTACCCCCAATTCAGAACACATTTCTTAATAGATTAAGAACCTCTCTGGCAGGCTGAGTACTCACCGCCATTAGCTCCTTCTGGAAAGATTTCCTCTCCTTGTTCTCAGTATTATTGCAGTCTTCTTTCAGCTTCTCCAGCACCGAGGCTACCCGTTCCGACTCGCTGTCCAGTTCTGCTCGACAGAAGAAAGTGAGCGGCAAGTTCACGTATCCCAAGGCGTCTGCGAACGAGCGCCAGCTGCTGATGTTCTCCATAAGCAGAGTCCTGACTGAGGCGTAGATGTAGGTCAGAAATTTGCAAGGCCTCAGGATTTGCTCAAGCAGTGCACTGGTGGTGAGATCAGGTCCAGAAAAATAGCAGGGCTTGACTTTCCCAACCACTAGCACGTTTTTGGCATGAACAAGGCCAATTTTTCCTTGGTAGTAGCCAATGTACCATTCCTTGGTCCACAGCTGGCCTTTCAGTTTGATCTTCTCTTCACTGAGCAGCGCGATGACATCTCCTTTCTTATATTCCAGTAAATAATGGTTCTTGTTTTGGCGCACTACAGTTTTAAGCAGTTTGCCATACTTCAGGCTCGCAACCGGCCGCTCCTGAAAGGCAGGATATTTGCTAGTGGCAGCCAGGGAGGACAGAATGATCTTCCCAACCTCATTCTTCTTGAGGAACCTTCTCTGCCCAGTGGACTTGATGGCACTTTTAGGAGGTGGCTGTGGTGTTTGCACGCAGAACTGGGTCAATATGGCGTCCTTGTCATCCTTGACCTGTATCCTCAATGTGAAGTCCGAGAGCTCATTGAAGTCATGGGACATGATTGGGAAGATGAGGCGGCTGACTTTCCCCAGCTTCATCTGAAAGCCTCTGACGATTTTGGCTTGTTCGCTGGCCTTCACCTCGTAATTAGTCATGTTGGAAAACATGCAGAGTTTCAGGTCCTGCGGCCGGGCCAGAGTGAACTGGTGCTTGCCCCACAGCTGCAGGGCCACGGGTGCCACACCGTGGATTTGCCGCGTAACCTCGGTCACTAAGAGAGTCTTTGGCGCACACTCGTGTCCAAAAATAGCCACGATGGTTTTAAAAGAAGGATGTATGTGTTTGGGGCCATAGACACCCACTGTGATCTTTTTACTGATGTAGTCCCAGACCGTGTAAGGATAGATGACGTTCTGTCCTTGGGCCACAACAGCTATGTACATACAAGGTTCCAGGTTATCCAGTTGCACCTGTATCGTGTCTCCATAGGAATAGCTGAGTTGCATTGGCATATAGGGTCCTTCTTTTGTGTCACTCCGCAGGCACTGTAGTCCCACCAAGCTCTGACTCACGATGTCATTCTTGACCTCCGCCGACACTTTCATCTCCAACATGATGAACGTTTTTACCTCCAAGTTGCTCAGTTTAATCTCCAGCACCGGGCTTATGGTGCTGCATTTGTCACTGTTGAGCTCCAGGGGCGGGTCTAACAGGGCTTTCATGGAGATCTGCTGCGTTTCCCCTGGCAAGACGTGACCTTCTGGCACATGGATGCTGATGTTAGTATCTGGGAGCTGAACTGCTCCACCAGAACTATCCAGCTTGCAGACGATGTTGGTCTCCACAGGTTGCGTCTGACCCCAGCCAGGGTTCTGGCCAAGCAAGTCCAGGTCGTGGCACGACCGTGCCAGCTTCCTGTGGTTCAGCCAGGCAGTTCTAAAATCTTCCCTGCTCTGGAACTGCTCTGGGGTAGGAGATTTTAATCCAGTAAAAAACCCCGATGATGTTGGTATTTCCGATTTTGCCTGAAGGACAGACAGCTCCGACAAACTGTACGAGCGTTTACTTCTGAAGAAGGGATTGTCCCGCCTCACAGGCTGTTCAAACTCCAATCCATTTGTGGATGGAAGTTCAGCAAAGATGTTACCTATGCTGCTGTTCATTGCAGAACCGGCCCCTGTAAACAGAGGAGCTGCCGTGTCAAACAGCAGTAAGTCCACAGTGGTTTTGGGGGTGCACTCTTTGTCTGAGCTGGGTGTTATTTGCAAGTTTCCATTCAGAAACGGGTTGGTTTGGACCCCGTTTAAGAAAGGGTTGTTACTGTAGCTGTTGGCAGAGTTTCTCTTTACGTCAGTCCACTCTCCAAGCAGATCTAGCTCTCGGACTCCTTCGTCAGGGCTCTCAAGCAGATTGTCTATCATGCCACTGTCAGTGAAGGATGAGTTGCGGTAGTTTACAGGCTGGACGTAGGAGGAAGGTATGTAACCCATTTCTGTGGTATTGTGAGCATACCACCACTCGCCTCCTGAGGTATCCAAGACATAGAGGTGGTCACCCTTGGAGAACTTTAAGGTTGTGAAGTTAGTTGGGCAATAGTCTTTGATTGCTACAACTTCCTTTGCATTTACAAAAGGCGTGGGATTGTCTACCAGCAAGGCACTAGGAGAAGGCACTGCAAAGTGAAAAGAAACAAGTGTCACAAGCAACCTGCAGAAGTCATAACACTTATTTACTAAACCTTCATCTTGGAAAAGCAATTCAATTTCTTTGACCAGTGAAGGCCAAACACAAGTTTTATCATATCATCTGATTATTTTACTTTTTAATCTCTTTAAAAATTTACCCACCCAGTACTTCGGATGCTTTGATATGTAGTGAGAGAGAGCTTCTGCCCTAAAGATCTTACAATCTAAAGAGACCAGACAGCCCAAGGGCTGAAGGGAAACCAGAGATGTGACTTGGCCAACATCACCCAGCAGCCCAGTGGCAGAATCGGGACCAGAACCCAGGACTCCTGATTCCCAGTCCAGTATTTTACCAACTAGACCACACTACCTCCCCTTTCAATTAAGGTCCTCACAACCTCTTGCATGGGAGAATTTGGCACTCCATGCTCTTAAGTCAGTGCGCAGAAAGAAGGAAAAGGCTCTGATAAATGGCACATAAAGCAGATGATTTAATGGGGCTCAAGACAAGCTCTTGAGCTTACACGGAACTCTTCCTCAGGTCTCTGATGATCAAGAATGATGTAAACAAAATACAAACCTTCTAAAATTCCTGTTCCCCTGAATTGTGAGTGTGGAAGGACACTTTTTTTTTTTATTAAACAAAAGATTTTAGGATTTATTCACAAGGACAGATACCGACAGACTAAAAATCAATCCTTCAACTAGTCCTCTGATCCAGCACAACCAACTCATATTGGTCTTCAAACACGTACTCAAGTCCTCATTGATGTCAGTGTGCTTTTCTCAATTGAAGTGCTAGTCACTTGTTACAGAGTTCCATGCTTTTTTTGTGTGTGTTCCGACCAAAATCAGCGTGTTGTCAGCTTTCCCCTCCCCTTCCCCAACGTTTGCATTTCAAGGCTATTTAACAAAAATTAACTTCGTGTTCAAAGAGAGGTCCATGTAATGGGTCCTCCCAAAATAAACACTGCAGCTTACCACTGCTGTATTATCAAGAATGAACCAGTGTTTCCAAACTCATTTCCAGGGTAGTCTTCAACTGCAGGCCAAACTGCACAGTATTTTGCCACACTAACAGAGCTCCTGATACAAACCTAAAGCAATATAATATAGCCCACAGATAGGCAGCCTTGCGTCAGCTTTTTGCATCCACAGTTAGACCGTGCTTGCTGCAATAAATGCTAAAGTAAAACTTAGATCGGTCACCAGCATTCAAACATTTGTTATCTTGCTAGACAAACCAAAGAGATTTATGCCTAAGGGAAAAAAAGTCCACTTTTGTAAGTATACACAGCCAAAAAAAAAAAAATAGGGGCTAATATCTATTTTTTAAAAATTGTTCAAACTGGATTATCCCAGTATCAAGGCTGAGGCAGAATCAAGACCCTGCCCCTCAAAATAAAAGGGTAATAAAAGTGACTCCCAGATTCATGTATGCATAAAGCCACTAGCCCAATGTAATTCTATGCTGCCTGAATATAAATGGTTTCAAAGACAGAGAAGACACTTGAAAGGTTATTTTGATAAGCCATATTTTGCAACATGATGCTGTTATATCAGCAAAGAATTCAAAAAGTAAAGCTCACAAGAGGTCTTTAAACACCTCTGCTAGCTCTTTGCTATTGCAGCACATATGGTATACAATATTACACACTGACCTGATGCTCCCTGAAGTAACGTAGGCACAAAAAGGAAACATGGTTGAAATTTAAATGTTTGTTTTCTTTGAGAGCCTTAGGGGTCCCCTTTGCTTTCTGCTGTTGCCTTGTGCTACCCTAGACGGGAGAACATCATACTTTAAATACAAAAATGTAGCCCCGCTACTGTAATTCTAGAAACTTGATAAAGTTTAAGGACTCAAAACTCCTGCAAAGATGGGGCTTGACACTATAAGCCAATGCCAAAGAGCTGTTACTATCGCTGAAAATTCCAGATGACAAGCCATGATCAACTTAAAGATCTCAGAGTGTTTTTTAACTATGGGAAATGAAACTTACGGGGATTTTCTTCCCCTTCAACCAAGGAGAAATGCCACTTTTGAAATAAAATATTAAGGAAAAAAACAAAGGAGCAATATGCCTATGTTCCTATCTACTTATGATTGGGAATGGTTTATGTCCAAGTTCTATGCCATATTCTTTGAGCTTTAAGGAGCTGTGGGAGTTGGTTCCTTTAATGAATACACTGTACTAGGTGAAAACCCCTGTGACAGTACAGTTATGTGGGTAAAAAAGCCAAACATGTCTCAGAACTGACAAACTGGATGGTAACAGCCTGCGAATCCCAGGGATGACCGAGCCTGGTGACATTCGGAACAAAAAGAGCCCTCACCCGGGCTTGCAGTTGTTTCCAGCACTCCCCGCCTGACTCAGACGTTCCAGGCTTCAGAGTCACACAGACAGTGACAAGGTAGGTGAGGAAATATCTAGACTGCACACACACAGTGACAATTCTGGAATCTTAATTTGAGGACAGGGATCTTAGCCCTCCACTTTGCAAAGTCCATTTATTTACTGACTGTAACAACAAGGAGAGAAGGAATGACAGCTTTATCCAGTGCCGCTGGGCAGAAAGCAATGCTTTGACCAGAGCATTTCCCACTCCATCAGAAACAGGAAGAGGGGAGAGGAGAGAGAGAGAGGGTGCATGCGGGGGCGGGAGGGGAATTAACTGTCCCCAACCCACATTTATTGTCAGTGAGACATGTAAACCCTCTGTGAAATCTTTCTGGCATCCCGCTATGAAGCGGCCATTAACTCAATTAAACGCCGTGAAACCTGTGTGAGGTGCAGCCATCGCTCTGGGTTACTAGCTACTTCTCTATCTGGCACCAATTCTCCCAGCGCAGCTGTGCTGTCCCTGGTCTCAGGTAGTTAACTGAGCCGCCATGACTTCGTGACTTGGCCACCCAGCTCTAAACAGAGGCCGGGGTTTGCTCTGTTAATTCCACTAACGTCACTAGATACTAGCCATAGTCTTTTCTCTAGATCACTTCTGGCTATGAAGCATCCGCTGAGTATCTAAATCAACTGCTCTGTAGAGACCCGATCCTGCAGGGTGCTGGGCATCCACACACCAATCCAGCCAAACTTTTAAGCATGTGCTTCACTGTAAGTGTGGGAGGCCTGGTCTTCACTACGTAAAGAGCTGTCTTCTGAACTCGTGTTAGCTAACAGGGGAACCCTAGTGAAGACAAGGCAGGTTTAACATGAGTTAGGAAGTTGAGGTAAACTCTAGGCCCCCCCATACTCCATCTTGACCTGCTAACTCGTTTTTAAACTACCTTGTCTTCACCAGGATTTCACCTGGGCTTAGTTACCAGCTGTTAGCTGTCAGAGGTAGGTAGCAGAACAGAGGAAAGCAACACACTCTTGGGACGGGCAGCGGCACGTTTGCAGAATGTGGCAAGTGCCATCCGGGACACCTCGGTGCTCCACCCTCATGGGACGGACCCAGGAGCTCTGCATTGGCATTACCTTCCCCTTCTGGCACAGGAGGAAAAGCCCCCGCCATGAAGATCTCCTAAGCCGCGTAGGAGTCATGCTGTGCTCCTGCACAGTTTAGGAGCAGTGCACAGCTCCACATCCTCCAGCCACCCCCCCTTGCCCTCCAGCACGCCCGCTGGGCGGCAGGGCTGGCTGAATAGAAGGGAAAAAAAAAGTGTAAAGAAGCTGTGAATGTTGCTCACAGTCCCCCCCACCCAATTCAAGAATTTGACAGACAACTTGGTCTACTGGCTTCCCAATGCAAATGGACCTTGCCACGCACAAAACCTCTGACCCAGATGGAGCCTATTCCTCTGCTACAGTATACAAATCGCACGCAGACATTAGTTTTTCAGAATGATCTGGAACTCAGTTAATATTGCCATCATTCCCACAATGCTGCTAGGAGTCTGAACACATGCAGGGTCATGTGGGTAACTCCCTGAATGCTCTGCTCCAGGAGCATGTACCCAGAGGGCACTGCAGCTAGATGGAGATTAATACCACTATTAATTTCCAATGTGGAACTGTATCAAATGTCTTACTGAGATCCAGGTAGATTAGATTTACTGCATTTCCTTTCTCTACAAAAATCTTCTCAAAGATAGTGATCAGGTTGGCCTGGCATGGTCAACCTTTTGTAAAACCGTGTTGTATTTTATCCCAATTACCGTTCACCACTATGTCCTCAACTACTTTCTGTTTCAAAATTTGTTTTAAGACCTTGCATACAATTGAGGTCAAACTAACAGGCCTGTAGTTTCCTGGATCACTTTCCCCCACCTTTCTTAAAAATAGGTCCTGTATTAATAATTCTCCAGTCACAGGGTACAACCCCCAGAGTTTTCAGATTCATTAAAAATCCTTGCTATTGGACTTGCAGTTTCATGTGCCAGTTCCTTTAACAGTCTTGGATGGAGATTAATGGGACCAAACCGGGGGGCCCAGATAAACTGTTTGACTTTGACTCCCTCCTCATATGTGGTAATTTCTACTTCAAATCCTCATTACCATTAGCCACCCTGTCACTACCCCAAGCTCTTCATTAGCCTCATTAAAAACTGAGGCAATATATTCATTTTGGTGTTGGGCCATGCCTAGATTATCTTTAATCTTCACCCCATCCTCAGTGTTTAGCAGTCGCACTTTTGTGTTTTCTTTTCACAGAACCTTTTACTATTGGTTTTAATTCCCATTGCAAAGTCTAACTCTGTTTGGCTTTTGACAGTTCTCATTTTCCCCTACACTTTCTGACCTCCAAGAAGTAGCTTTCCTTGCGGATCCATCCCTTCTTCTATTCCTCTTGGCTGTCTGCTCTCTCTTAATAATCTGTTTGAGATGCTTGTTCATTCATCTTGACCTGCAACCCTTCCCTAAGAACTTTTCCCCCTAACTTGAGATACAGGCTTCAGGTAGCTTCTGCAACTTTGATTTAAAATAATGCAGCCGACCTCAGCCCCGATGTAGATACTGCGATGTCAACAAAATAATTCTTCCATCAACCTAGCTACTGTGTCTTGGAGAGGTGGATTTACTACAGTGATGGAAGAACGGCATCTGATCCTGTAGTGTCTATAATGCAGTACTGCAGCGGTCCTGCTGTCGCATTTCTAGTGTAGACATATCTTGAGTCTGTAGATCCAGGCTCTGCGACTCACTGCTGTGTGGGTTTTTTGTTGTTTTTTGTTTTTTGCACTGTAGACATACCCACTTGATCCTGCAGTGGCCTTAACTCCCGGAATACTCTGCTCCAGGAGCACGTACCCAGAGGGCACCGCAACTAGGGTTCAACAAACCCGATACGAACACCATGTTTTTAACACAACGCAATAGGACTAGTGTGGAGACACCAAACGCAAATGCCTGGCTGAATCACAACTTTAAACAATCTACTAAGTTAACATTTTCAAACAAAACCCCAGCTGATAGCTACAATGACTTTTGATATTAAGTTCTACATTTGGCTACTCTTGAAACAAAGCCATCAATGGGGGGTTTTGTTGTTGCTTTTAACGACACCTATCATTTGCCAGCATTTGCGTCATTGTAACTGAAATTATTTCTCACGGCTCATTTAGACTAAGCCAGTGGCGAGATTATCTGGCACTGTGCTGGGTACAATAAGATTATTTTAAAAAGTATCCAAACGTCCATTACATTCCGTTTTCTTAGAGAGTGTACTTCACTGGGGAAAGAAGAAACCCCAACACCTGGTTCTCCTTGGGGAAAGCTCTTAAACATTCCCTGCTTCTGTGCAAAGAAAAGGTAAAGAAGCCACATTGATAGTACATACCTTTCCTAGTTGGACAATAGCTACTCTGTACCATTCCCCGCCTTAATGGAATTGGAGGAATTGCAAACAGGTTTGAAGCTGCCGCATCTTTAAGATAAATTGTCTGTTCATGAATGAAAGTGCTTCCATTGATGTATTTAATGTAAACAAGTGGTAGGGAATGGTTAATGCCATTCTAGGATTCAGCCTAAGAGCGATGAAGCAAGGAAGCAGTCAGCCTCCAGCCAACAAACAAGCAGGTTAAACTTACGCACTGTTCAGTACATCATATGGGAGCAGGGAGATGTTCTTTACTTCGGGGAGGTGTGGACACTTGTGCTCACGGAGGGAAGGGGAGGGGAAACAAGTAAAAAAATCACACTGGGAGCCTAAAGCTGGGTGAAGAGCAAGTTCCAAAGAAATCAGCATTGTGTGGTTACTCTGCAGGCTCAGCACCGGGGTCTCTGAATTACAGAGCTAAAGTGCTAATGACACAGGTATTCCCACATTAAAGGCTGCCCTGAAGTTTGGCCCCAGTCTTAGGGCTTGCATACACGGGGAAACTGACTGCCATAGCTAGTACAGAATAACTGTTCTGGAATCATAGAATAGCAGGGTCGGAAGGGACCTCAGGAGGTCATCTAGTCCAACCCCCTGCTCAAAGCAGGACCAATTCCCAGTTTTTGCCCCAGATCCCTAAATGGCCCTCCCCTCAAGGACTGAACTCACAACCCTGGGTTTAGCAGGCCAATGCTCAAACCACTGAGCTATCCCTCCCCCCCCCCCCCCCAGGGGAGTTATTCCAGAACAGCTAGAGCGCTTTACATTCATAACCTACCTTATTCCAAAATAACGTAAATAACCCTTTACATTCCTTCATCATGCAAACTGTCAGCGTCGCCAACTCTTACGATCTCATCATAAAGCTCATGAAAGATCATTTTAAAGTCATTACGATTAGGGAAAAAATCTCATCTTTCATTGTAAAAAAGGTAAGTTCCTACCCCTTAAGGTTGCAGTAAAATACATGAAAACACAGTTCAAGGACACCCTAAAGACTCAGAAGCTGTAAAAGCAAATAATATGGGGTGGGGGGGGGGTTGGGGGGAGAGTTCCTCTCTTTTGAAATCTCACAATTGTGTATGGCCTGACTCATGATTTTTGAATGCTTGAGGTTGGCAATACTGCCAATGTTGTGTGAGCTACAGAGTCTGCATTGTCTTATAGCATCAAAACTCCTGCTCCATCGCGGGAGTGCAGCCTGCCATTAGGACTTGTGATTTTCAAAGGGCATGTGGGGAAAGTGAAGGAAGAAATGGATTAAGGAAAGACGGGAAATGAGCATTTCTTCGTCCTCTGTATATGGCTGCCAAGAGAACACAAACTTTTCTAGTTGTTTTTCTTCTTCTGTCCACATCACCTCCCCCAGCTGTACGGGCCGCCTGAGCTTCACAGTACTCAAGGTACGAAGCTGACAAAGAACTGGGTCAGCAAGCTGGTCTAGAAGAAAACACCAAGCCCTCTGTGTAAGTAGCAGCTGATGAGTCACAAGGACCTTTGCCACTAGTATCCGGTGGAAACAAAGAGTAATTATTAGAGCCTGGCAAAAGGCCACATCTCTCACAGATGCCAAGTGGGCATAATGGAGATGGTTTATTCTGCTGATGGGACATGTTTCAGGACTGCATGAGGAGTTGGTCCCCACTTGATGCTTCATGCTGGGCTGGGAGACCCGAAGGTGAGCGGTTTTCTCCAAAGATGCCAAGTCACGTGTGTGTCACCACCATCTGCACAATCCCAAGGACAACCATTGCTTCTGGCTGACAATCCATTTCCAGTCCTCCCCCTACACTCGCCTCAGTAGTGGGCGCTGTGGGTTTCGTTCTCATTTTTGATTATTCACTAACTAATTCATTTGTTGCAAGATAAAACAGACATGTTCCAGGCAGGAGGGGATGCGTACAAGGCCCGTGGTTAGTGCCGCAATGGAAGGCCCATCGCTGTCCTTCTGCATGCGTGAGGGGCAGCCTGGAGCTGGAGGATGGCTCTGCCATTTCGTGTAACGAGCCCTACAGGCCAGGGAGGGGAGAGCAGCTCAGCCAAGGATACATCTTCTCCCCCTGTCCAGCTAGCCCCCTAACTAGAACACAGGAGTTATTCTGCAGCCACTTGCTTCCAGTGAGGGAAACGAGAAGAGGGCTGGAATGCCTGGCCGCTGATTGACAAGGAACAGAGCCAACCCACTGAAGGAGAAGTAGCACTTAAGCAAGATCGTAAGTCACCACTGCTAAACAAAAACCATGTTTATTTCAGTGCCAATTGTACCAGGCCAACCCGCTGCCCCCAAAGAACATACAAACGACCATACTGGGTCTAGTCCAGTATCCTATCTTCCCACAGTGGCCGGTGCCAGGTGCTTCAGAGGGAGTGAACTGAACAGGGCAATTTCGAGTGATCCATCCTCTGTCATCCAGTCCCAGCTTCTGGCAGTCAGAGGCCAGGGACACCCACAGCATGGGGTTGCGTCCCTGACCATCTTGGCTAATAGCCATTGGTAGACCTATCCTCCATTACCTTATCTCATTCGGTTTTGAACCCAGTTGTACTTTCAGTCTTCCAACATCCCCTGGCAATGAGCTCCACAGGCTGACTGTGGGTAAAGAAGGAAACTGCACAAACTACTTTCCTGCCACTCGCAAATCAATGTTTGTTAGATAATGAACTAAACACAACTGTAACAAATCAGTTGAAAGTGGCCCTTTCAGGAGATGACAATGGAAATCAATCAGGAGCCTAGTCTATTTTCAATTGCTTCCACCATACCAGTTAGGGTCTGTGTTCACAGATCCCTTGAATCCAAACTGCCTTGACACTGAGTGCTCCTGTCAGTGTGGAAGATCCCAGGTCTTTCTAAGTGTTTACAAAACCCCCTCAAAACGTTGACCCCCTAAGGAGGAGACATTTTAAACTAGAAAATTAGGGAAAACAAACTGCAGGGGAAGGCGATCAGTGCTGGTTAAGGGACTAGACTAGGACTCAGAAGATTGAGGTTCAATTCCTAGTTCTGCCACAGACTCCTTGTGTGACCTTGAGCATGTCACTTCACCCCTTCACTTCCCACCTGAGGAGCCAGTTTACCACCATTCCTTTCTCCCCAAGCCCCCTTTGTACGTCTTGTCCAGTACTGTATTATATGTGCATACAGAGCCTAATGCCATGGGACACTGGTCTTAGTCAGAGCCTCAACCTGCTACTGTAATACAAATATCAAACGCTGCAAAATTCTGCTCACCTTTGACGTCACTAAAGCTGGTTTCCGAAAACCCTTCGCTGAGATCGATCAGTGTCCCCTCGGACTTGCAGCGGGGAGGCCACTGGAGTTGGCAGCACGAATCCTCTGAGCTGCCATCCTGAAACTTTGCCCTGTCCTGGGAAACGCTAGTGGGCCATGTTTCCTCTCGCGCCTGCAGCAAGAACCCCTATACCATCTAGCGTGGCAAATTCCAGCTGCCAAGAGGACAGTGTCCAGATGCAACTTTTACAGCCTGAGGAACCTGAAGGGAGAATAAAAGAGCTGGTTAGCGTAGGCATTTGCAGCTCACTTGGAGAAGTAATCAGGTGGCTGTAGAAAGGATGAACATGTGGTTGCAGCACTGAGGTGCAACTGAAGAGGTTCTGGTTCAAGCTCTTGTGGGTAGGGGTGTCTCCTCCAATGTGTCTAGCATAACGGGGCCCCGATCACAGGTGCTACACGTACCATTTACGAACAGAAAAACAGTTCCTGAATTCTTCTTGGGCATCAGGAACTAACTCCTGTACCGCTCCTAGCAAAAGCCACCAGTTCTGAGGAGCTAAAATCTCTGCTACCGACGACAACTGGACTTTGGGCCTCATTTCTTACTGCTGATAACAGTCTCTTTTTTGCAGAACGTAACCAATGCTCCTTCCTTTAAGGACCAGTTCAGGGTGTCAGTTCTCAGGGTTATAAATTAGTCCTTCCTTCCCACTCAGAGGCACTATACTGTAGGGTCTGTTACAATACGTACTATGGGATCTTGAGCGGTAGATCCTGAAATGCCAAATTATTAGAGTCAACTCACACTGAGTGCACTCTTGGAGTCATTTTCTGCAAGTCAAACCACGCTGTTCCTGCCTCCTATTGAAGTACCAGGATGTTCTTGACATTTCTCATTAAGATTTCAGTACTGAGAGTTCCCGGGCTTTAGAATATATTGAAATACAGATACTGCAAAGGCAGGTGCTGGAATGCTTAAATCTCATGTGTCCGGCAGGCAAGAGAACGGCTAAGTGTCATGTGTCTTCCACAGCCAGATTGTGAGAGGACACAGAAACGGCTGATCCCGGAGACTACCTATCAGCAGGGCAGCCACGCTGCACCAGGACGGTACTTGCACCATAATGATCCATTAGTAACCCCCTGCAAACCCAACAGGCACAAGTGAAATCTGCCATACAGAGGAACACCAGCCATTGGCACAAAGCACATTGGCATGTCCCACAGCATCAGGTAGGTAGGTCGTAAGAGGGATTAATACGTGCCCAAGTCAGTGGCGTACTACATTCAGACAACCAGTTGTACAGACAGCCCACAGTTTTTTTGGCAAGTTTGGTGTTTGAGGCAGTGACAGATCATTAGCACTAGCTACCTCACCTCCAACCTGTATCCCACGCTCTGCGGTTCCAGGCTTGCAGAGAGGCTGTTAAGTGTTCCTTCCCACACAGATTCGTGACCATTCTACACTGGCCCGTGAGTGGGAGAACGGGGGCTCCTGGAACATCACTCATTAGGTAAATCTCTGCTTTCTGACTTGCTCAGAGGTGAAAAGTTCCTCTTCTCTGTACCTTTAACTCCTCAGCCTTGTTAATTTTTTACTGTACTTTAAGTTAAAATTCTAACGTCGTGTTTAGAGCAGTGGACCAACAAAGATTTCCAGGTACTTCTAATGAAAAAATCCAGAGCACTTGTAACTTAAACATGCATGGACTTCCCAGATTAGCATTGTGCATTGTTACCAAGGCAAACAAGGGAAATAAGTAACCCTGCCCACTTCCCTTTAGGCTGCAGCACAGAGGATCTCGAAGCCTCTTCCACCAGGGCCACAGGACAGCTATGAACAGTATTCCTGTTTTTTCTTTTCTCACAAAGGGGAAGGAGCTCGTGACACTTCAACATGTGGAAACTCATGTTTCTGTTAATTGCGGAGTTGCATACCTCAGGAAAGGGAAAGGATTAGAGCATCAGCATCAGATTTTCATTTCTAGTATCAAAATATCGGTCTACAAATTTAATAAAAATCAAAATTTGCCCCGAGAAGTAGGTACTGAAGGAAACGGTCAACATTTACTTCTTCAGACATTGAGTTCTAACGTTTGCCTCAAGTGAAGTCATTACCTGCTTCCCTTTGCTAAGCACCAGTTACTATCAGTGCCAAGTTTACAATGGCGCCCGCGGTGCCATGGAGCCGGACCCATGCTCAGAAAGGGCCCCAGCTTGCCCTGCGGCCTGAGACCCCACTGGCTCCACCCACCTCTTGCTCCTCTTGGCCTGCCTGACGAGGGCTCCTCTTCACCCCCTGGCCCCATCCGCTGGCTTCTCTCTGCCCCCTGGCCAGACCCCAGTGCACCTCTGGCTCTGGGCAGCCTCCGCTCCCCACCACCTGTGGGTCCCCACCTGTCTCCCAGGCGCTGAGCTGCCTGGGACTGGTGCAGAATGCGTGCGGGGGGGGGGGGGGGGAGGACAGGACAGTGTCGGGGGCTTGGCTGGGCCCCCCCAGGCAAGTGGGTCCTGAGGGAGGCTGGCTGGGGCAGGCCCTGGCCTGGCTGATCACACCGAGGGGGCCAGAGCGACTCCCTGTCCCGGGACCTGCACTGGCGGCTCAGCCCGGCAGAGAGAGTTGCCTCCCAGCAGGGCCGGTGAATGCGGCTGGGAGGCAGGGCATGGGTGTCTGGAGGGCTGGGGGGGCGGGGAGGGGTGCTGGGCTGTGAGGGCGGGATCTGTGTGTGCTGAAGCACTAGGGAGTGGGGGTTTTGTGTGGGGTGCTGTGCAGTTGTGGTGGGGCGCTGGGCAGGGGTGGTGTTGTGCAGGACACTGCATTTGTGGCAGGGTCTGGGGGGCGCTGGGCATAGTGGGTGCAGGGTGTGGCTCTGGCCATAGGGAATTGGAGGGCTGTTCCAGTGTTGGGTGGGGGGGGCTCTGTGTGTGGCATGGGCCCACCCAGGAGGGGAAGGGGCATGCTGGCAGCACAAGGCTGGGTGGACCACTGTGCGTCTGGCAACTGCCGGTTTGTAAATAGTGCCCTCTCACTGGGCAGGGCGGAGCAGGGCCGCCCATGCCAGGCCCCCGGCCAGCCCCTCGCTCCAGAGACCGACCCCCCTGCACCACTCTCCACTGCCCCCTTGGGGGTCCACAAACAAGTTGGGCGCCAGGCCCACAAAAAGTTAATCCGGCTCCGATTACTATACTTGGCTTGAAAAATCCAGACATACTCAAGAGCTTTCCCTAGCAAGTACTGGATCCTCAGACCCCATTCCTTCAAGATTTAAGCTCTAATGCAACACAGCGTAATGTCTAGCCCTTGTGGTTACAACGAATCTTCCTTCCAAATGTGAACCAGATCAACATCGCCTTCATCACTGCTCAGAGCAAGAGCTTCTGCAACTACTCCTAGGTGCCACAACGTGAAATTAACATGAGATTCTGGTCAGTTTCATGGCTGCCATTCCAAACCCTTTGGAAAGCAGTGAGAAATATCAAGAATAATTTTCTTGCAGGGTCCAGAGACAACAACCTGGTAGAAATCCTCTGCAACTTCCCCCTTCTAACAGGTGGGTAAGGCCAAGGTGGTGGTTGGGTTTCTAACACATATTTTATATGTCCATTATATAGATGTGTAAACCAAGGCACAGATCTTTCATTGTCTGCCCAAAGACAAAACATGTTAATGGCAGAGCTGAGAAGAGAATCCCAAAACCTCACTCCCAAGTACAGTCTCTTTCATAAGGTGCATCTTTCACCCCAGCTTCCTGGCCAGAACAGAGTTTCGTTTCTTCACAGAAAAGCAGAATATCAGCTCCAGACATCTCTCCCAATGACCCCAATGCCATATCCATTCAGGACTGGCTCATAAGACAGCCCAAACACTTTGATGAACCTCCAGGTCTATATCACAGCTGTGCACACGTCCCATATACACAAAGCAGGAAACGTGCAATAGAATGGATCACCCATTCTAAGAGCTCTCTAAAAAGACTGCTGGGATATAGTGCAAAAACTTCATTACAAAGGAAGAGGCAGAGTTATAGTGAAGACTTACAACCTTATCTTGGGGGATGGACTAGATGACTTCCTGAGGTCCCTTCCAACCCTGATATTCTATGATCTTTGAGACCCAATCTAGACAGATGTGTGCTGCTGACACAGAAAAGGCTTACTGGAAAAGCAAAGCAAGAGCTCTTTGTTTGGGCTTATATAGCCTCAAGCTTCCTTTTCTTTTCTCCCCTCCCTCCTCTGGGAGGCTCTAATCAAACCAGGTAGAGCAATCTGGATTAGTCATTTTGAGAAACTCCCCTTAGGTCTGGCCCTGGTGCCACATGGCTGGTAATTGGATTTAAGGCCCGCGCTCCATTCCACCTCAGCCATTGCAAAGATTTCCAACACCTCATTGGTCTGCTACGTGCAAACTGAGTGGCACTGGCCACTGCACAATTAGAAACCACTTTTCACAACCCACCAGACCTGAAGTGGCCCACACCAACCTAAAGAAGAGCTCTGCGTGGCTCGAAAGCTTGCCTCTCCCAACAGAAGCTGCTCTGGTCTCTCTAATGTCCTGGGACTGACAGCTACAATTACACTGCATCCCTACCCTAACCAGCCCTGAAACTCCCATCAAGACACAGAGTGACCCTTGCTGCGTTGGTTTCGCATGAAGTTTTCAAGCCACTATGGCTATGTTCTTAGAACTTGGAGCTTTCCCCAGCAGACTCCTAGGTTAATTAAAAGCATAACCTCATCCAAAGGAAGTTGCTCCTGGTGATCTCTTTAATTTCAGCCTCTCTGTGGCGTGCTCTCTCTCTCTCTTTTTTTTTTTTTTTGCAGCAAGACATCCCAAATGAACTCTTAGATGCACAGCAGCATATTTCCTAATGACCAACAGCAGCAAATCTAGGATGGGCCTCGCAGGCTCCTGGGATAAGTAGCGCAGAGCCGACCTGCAGGAAGAAAGAGGAGCAAAGGAAGCAGGATAGATCTAATGGAGGTGGCTTTGCAAACCAAGCGGGGTGTGGGGGGGGGGAAGGTTTAAACAATTGCACCTCAGGTATTTTTGGAGTCCTTTCAGAGGCTTTAAAATGCAGATACCAGTAGAGTCATGAAGAAAAGGATAACGCAAACCTCGGCCTCCCATTCCATGTCACGCTTATGCTCATTTACACAGAGATGATGGGGGCATAACCAGGCTACACACACTTCTCCACCCTCTTTGTAAAGACTTCATAATCCTTTCGCAAAAAGAAAAGGAGGACTTGTGGCACCTTA